GAGGTATGTCAGGATCGTGCCAAATGGAAGTCCGTAATCTCTGCCTACCCCTCTGGGTGACAGGCGTGAGTGTTTATGTTATGTTATGTTATAATTCTTCTGTCCGTATGTATGCGACTGATGTCCTTTTAAACGGCTTTACCGATTTTAATGCAATTTTCGCTGTGTACTGTGTTATAAAGTTTATTCGAGAATGGTTTTTTATACGATAGGGTGACAAACGAGCACACAGTCCACCTGATGATAAGTGGTTGCCGTGGCCCATAGACATCTACATCTATGTTCGATTACGAATCAAAATGCAGATGCGTTGTCACCCGTGAGGACTAGGATGGAATGCCTCGTTTCCAGTAAAAAGGGTCTCCGGTTTTCTACACTCACCATACGAAACACAGCAGCATTAAGCTACTATTTGACGCTGGTATTCTGTGAGAGCGTGGTCCCTCCCCGGTCGAGCCGACCCATTCGTGCTACTAATATAACTGCAGCATGGCTCTACCACGTTTAAAAGTTAGTTAAGATCCATAGTTGGACTCGGTAAGTGACGCTATTGTCCAGAACCAGAAATATGTAGCACGTGCGAAGCCGGGGCGGATCGCTAGTATCTTTATATATTTATTTGCGTGAATGTGAGCGATCTCCGCTGCACTCTGTTAATTGAGCTCAAGTGTTCTCAATATCGATTCAATGAAATACAATTTAAAAATAAAATTCTTAAACTAGCTACATAGTTTGCCATTACGCCAATAATATTGTAAGTGCGAAGTAATTTATGCATATCAATATCAACATATGTAAAGTGTTTATAAATGAGGTGCTAAATATTATTCAGGTTGAAAATTTATAACAGCGCCATCTATTGTCAACTATCGGAATCTGAATACACGATCATTGTAAAACTTACGTTTATAAATAGCTGTTTAATTTTTAACTCCAAAAATTACGTCACTCAGTTTTTCATAATCATCACAACCTTTAACAAGTCCACTGCTGAACGTAGATCCCCTTAGGAAATGCCACAATGCACGGGCTTAAGCCACCTGCATTCATCGACTTCCTGCATATCTTAAAAAGTCAGTACTCCATCTAGCAACAGCCGCTCTACACTTCGATTATCAGTGCGAGGTTGTGTCACTCGAGAATCTTTCTTCTCCATCGCTTGTCAGTCCTTCGAGTTATAATATGGCCGGTCCATTGCCATTTCGGCTTACTAATACTTTGGGTTATGTCGGTTAATCTGGTTCTACTGCAAATATCCTCATTTCTAAGTTTATCACGTAGAAAAATCTCGAGCATAGCCCTCTCCAAAGCTTGCTGAGAGACCTTGAGTTCCCACATACGACCAGCAGTGAAGGACCACATTTCAGAGACACACAGTGGTTGTATAATCTTGTTTTCAACTTTTGAGGTAGAAGAGAAGATGTGTTGTTTCTTTTTGAAAAATTATCGGATTAAATCTTATTATTATTTAGTATGTGCACAACATGTGTACATTCCTCACCAGCACCCGAGAATTGTTAATTAATATGTCTATAGGTGATTTACTAATTGTCGGCGGTAAAGGGCATACAATACTTCTAAGCGAAAGTAGCCTAAATGACAGAATGCGGACCACGAACTCGAAAGGTCGTAGTTTGGAATCCGCAATTCGACTATTGCCGCGAGCCACTCCTAACACAAGTATTTTAATGTAGATTTAAGACAAAAATGTTATAGATGCTCGTTACTATGTACATTAAAGATTTATATTGATTACAATTTATATCGATTACAATTTTATACTTTTACTCTATATTCACAAAAATAATATCGCTGAAGTCTATGAGACCACAGGTAGATAGTTAAGGGTTGAACCCCTGTCTCGCTTGAAACACGAGTACTGTCATGCAGATAAAGTCATTAGTTTACCATTTTTAATACTTCCTGTTTTTTCATGAAATGTGTAGCACACATTTTTTGTAAGACCGTCCTTAAGTTGATGATATGGGATTCACTTTGTATATAATATTGATTACAATTTTTTAACTTTGATGAATTGTTAAACTCAAAAACAAACCATTATTAAGATGTAAGAACTCACATATCCTTGCCCCACAATTTTTCCTCACTCAGATTAGCAAGAAAAAGTGAATCAGAGAAATTTCAGGATTCCACTTTGTCCCACCAGTCGGACACTTGATCGGAAAAAGTGGGACAATCTGTTTGTACTGAACACCATGATCAATTCACAATTACGTTTTGAGTGGGATATCATTATTTTTTTTAATGTTTCCTTTTATTATTCTAAATAAATACAGGACTATTAACGTATTTTCTTGCGTTCATGCTTCACTATTGTTTATTTTTTATTTATACTAAAGAATTTTATGTCAACATATTGGTGCGGATAATATAGTACTTAAAATTAATATTGATATTAGTTTTAGATTTTTTCCTTTGTATACACCTTGTTATCTACCTTGATACAAAAGCTAAAGTTTTTTTAGTAACCTAGAAGTGGTTTTATATGAGTGATTCAGAAAATAATGAGACGTTAAGAACTTAAGAATTAGGTTAATATATGAAATTTGGAATTCTAGGTATTCAAGGTGTCATTATTAGGTAAGCAAAATTAAAAATGCGTAAATCCAGTACAATCTGAGTTATGGGTGATTAGAATGTTGTTCGAAATAGTTCGTGGAAATATACACGTTGCATTTGCTTCGCTCTTTTTTTCAAACTTGGGTGTCACACGGTTTCTTTTTATTTTTTTGCGCCCGAAAAAAATATGGGCATCCCTCCGGAAAGCGGGGGAGGGAGGCGGTGAATGCTCATAGCATACCACGCAGTCGGCTGCGTGGTTATGTGGAGACTTTTACCCACTAAACACCGCCTTTATGGATTGGCTTACCGATCTGACGAGAGATCTCTAAGCCGTATACGGACGCGACTCTCCTTGGCAGAAAGGAGGGCGCAAGCGTCACACTGCCGCTTATTTAGAATCAGGCGTTAGTTTGAGGTAATCGAATATTATTTAGTTAAGGTCCACGTGAACAATAATATGGTGTGTCTTGCCTTGTTTGAATTAGAAATAGAAACTTTTTTATTCAATATTAAGTACTTTAAGTATGTTTTTTAAGTACTTAATAATTATTGAAAGTCACTTGATGCCTAATTTATCACTAAAAATATCTCATGAAAACATTTCTATCCTGTGAAGAACCAGCAAGAAACCCAGCGGTAATTTTTTTTAACACTTTACAATCATATATTGTTATATTACAAAATTAACTAAACAAAACGAATTAGAAGAATTAGACTGCCCATGTATACCCACGTACCAACGTATATAATATGCAATTTGGATACGGATGATAAGCCAGAATCACCTTGGATAGCTTTATATATATATACGTATGGCATCGGTCAATATTTTGATTCATATGGACGATCACCTGCACGATATCATCTAGAGTTTTTAAAAAGGAATTGTAAGAATGAGTGGACTTCAGTTTGTGGTGAATATTGCTTAATGTATTTCCTATATAAGATTCAGGGATGTTCAATACAAAGTTTTACGAGCATATTCACAGTAAACACCCTGTAAAACGATATTTTAGTGGATGAGATGTTTTGTTCCTATTTTATATATAATAAGCAAAAACATTTTGGATATAAAAATTGTAACAAAATTAAGGAATCTGTTTTATTGGTGATTCAGAATAGCGTGGTAGTTGCGCACTAACAAATATGTATAATACATTTTTTTAAGGATCCGTGGACCCATTGTCAGCTGACGAGGGCTGAAGAGTGAGCCAAAACTGGTACAAACTAACTACTCATTGAGCTGTCCGATATTATATAGTCCGGTATGAAGAGTTCCGGTAGGGTACCAAATTTCAACAGAGCTAATATAGTTACAGGCTGTGAGGCATTCCATGTTAATCCTCAGAGGTGACAAGGTATCATACGCATGCAGATGTAAACCTCTGCGGGCTACAGCATCCAATTATCACATTTTTACTATTCTAAGCGCTTAACTACACCTAATAGTAAGCAGTGATGCAGTCGAAGATGGCGAAGCGCACTGACTTAACAAAAGACTATTTACTTCTGCCTTGAAGGTACCTACTTTGTTGTCGGATGGAAAGTCAGATGCTGGCAACTTATACCACTCCTTTTCTGTACGCATGACGAACAATGTAGCAAACCGCCCGTGTTAATGAAAAGGTGGAGACTAGCCGAGCTTCTGGTTATCGATTATTAAGTATATTGTGTGCTTTGTTACCGTTATTACTATAAAATATTCATATTAATTTGATGATACACAATAACGTGTTTAAAAGTTTTCAGTTGAGTAGACTAATATAATTATACACGTGATGCTTGGACGCCTGTCAGTACGGTGGCGACGGCCCAACGGCGCCGACAGTTAATTGGATGTTTCGGTTTCGTCAGTAAATCTCGTTAACGTTAGCTAAGTCTTATGTTATCGATTATTCGTGTATACTCGACCTCGTTGTGTATCAACCGAAATTCTGCGTGATGATAGTACGAAGGTCTGATATATTTATATTATCAACGTCAACAATGTTTTATTAAAAAAAAGTTACAATAAATAATAATTAAAATTAACTTTATTTTCGAAACATCATATTTTGAAAATAGAGTAAGGTAACCCTCTATAACTCCCAAGAGCTGAGCGTGGGTACCATCCATCGTATTTCGAGAGTACTAAGATAGTAAATACTGATTCTTGTGTTCGGTAGGGAAGGATAACATCATGCATATCTGAGGAATAAAAATATTTTCTTGGAGACACGTTAATTATTAGCCGCCACAAAAAAGAGAAGGAAGGCCTGGAACTTTTTTTACTTTGAATAAAACTATTATTTACGGATTTTATCGCGTTTAATTACAATTTTAGTTTATTTTTACGACGTTTCCGTAAATAATAGTTTTATTCAATGTGTAGTGTTCGCGTAAGTTTAAGAAATCATTTATTTGCTTTTTTGATGCAGGTTACGGCTGCTTTCAATGGCTGTTGCTGATGTCCTGCGGAGCAGTATACGCGGTCTGTGCACTCAGCACAACGACACTCAGCTTCGTGCTGCCGGCCGCCGAGTGCGATTTCATGCTGTCCTCCAGCGACAAGGGCAGGCTCACCGCGACCCCACTCATTGGTTTGTACATATAACTGTTCGCTTGAATCTATATGTTAATCATTCTTATCTGATTTATAATGGTATATATATTCTAAACAAGTTGGAGCGCCTTCTTAATAATTCCATAGGATTTATTTTTGGTTTACGTAAGTATGACCAATTATCATCCTATCGTTCAAAGCTTAAATGGCTACCTATACGTCAAAGGCGATGCTCTAGAATTTTACTTGTACTTTATTCAATTTTAAGCGATGTAAGGTCGCCTTCTTATCTTAAGGATAATTTTCATTTTTTTCATTCGATCGACGGTCGAACATCCCGACAGTCAAACCGTCTGAGGTTAAGGTTCCCACAGCATAAGCTAATTACTTTAAGTCATCATTTACGATACAAGCTATACAACTTTGGAACACCCTCCCCAATGATATTAAGAATGCCACAAATAAAAAAGTTTTCAAAGTTCTTCTCCGAGAACATTACCTGAAGGCAACTACAAATTGTCATTATTTTTCCTTAATTCTCGTCTTTCTTTTCTTCTTCTTTTTACTTCAAATATTTATTTCATTGTATATTATTTAAACATTATATTATATATATCATTCATTTGGATATTTATTTACGAAGTTTATATAATGCATATTTATACTATATATATATATATATATAAAAGTAGTATATATGTATGTACTTGCATATATGTATAGTTTAATGTATATGCACTTATTTATGTATAATGGTCGCACCTGCCAACAATTGTCCTTGGCACCCAGGGTTGACTGGCAGAGAATGCCACATGGCATTAAGTCCGCCCTATATACCCTTTAGCTTAAGGTGTTACATGTAAGTTTTTAAATAAATAAATAATAATTGATATTTATTTAGTGCGAATGCACCGTGCGTATCTTTCTTACTTAACTTTACTGTATGATATGTATAGGTATTTAAAGTTTATTGATTTATTAATTATGCAATTTTTTGAAAATAATACCTACGTAATAAATCACAATTTTGCTCACTAGGGTCAAATAAATCATCAAACGACCGTTTGCTTCGGTATTATTTATTAATAACTATTTATTTTTTTAATATAATACATGGCTGTTGCTAATAATACGATAATCATATAAATGAAACCTATTTATCGTCGGATAATTTTTAAAATAAAATTTTCTACTTTTTAATATTATATTTGACATTATTATGAAAGTGGAATTTACTGTGAACTTTTTTTTATAAAACTAAAGTACATTACGGACTAACAGTCTACCTGATGGTAACTGGCCACTGCAGAACATAGAAACCTGCAGCCAACTTCAAACAAATAAGACCACAGATGCATTGTCACTTATGAGGACTAAAGTGGAATGCCTCTCAACCTCTAATTATTCTGGCTCTCTGTACCTATCAGACTGGTACACAGCAGTGCAATCACTAGGTACTATTTGGCAGCTATTTCTGCTGAAGGCCATAGATAGGTAGATGTTATTACCCCTACCGCATGAAACTAAATCTCACGTGCATTTGCCTTTTTTATAGAATAAGGGTGATAAACGAGCACACAGTTTATCTGATGGTAAGTGGATGCTGTGGCCCATAGACATTTACATTTAACCTCGATTATGAATCAAAATGCAGATGCGTTGTCACCCTTGAGGAATAACATGGAATGCCTCGATTCCAGTAAAACGGGTCTCCAGTTCTTTACACTCACCATACGAAACATAGCAGCTATTTACGCTGGTATTTTGTGAGAGCGTGTTCCTTCCCCGGTCGAGTCAATCCATTCGTGCTACAACCATAATATAGATATAGCGTGGCTCTACCACGTATACTGATGTAATGATTCTATCTTAAATAAACGTCTGTTTGTAGTGATACTAATGCTCAATGGGCTTTTTGCAGACAAGCCCTAAGGCAACCGAACATGTTTTTGACAAATGCCTTTGAGTGCATTATTTCATATACAAATTCATCTTGTAATTAGACTTTTTTTAATCCATTCCTATAGTTTTCATTTTCTGCATGGTGAGGTCCTTCAGACCAAAACCATCGTCGACTGGCGTAAACTCCACGTCAAACTCAAGTCTACGAACTCTCAGCATTTAGACACTACACAAGACAAGATAGAATATTATAGCCAGAGGAAGCAAATAGTGCGATAAATGTCCTACCGACTCATCTCACTTCAGCGGCCGAAGAATGCTCCCGTAAATTTCTTGTGTCGAGTGATAAACGACCGAAGCTTCCGGCAACTGATTAGAGCGAAGAATACCGCACTAAAATCTCATGACCGTTATCGCACGGTAGATAAAAAAACTCGGCTACGTTCTTTACAAAACAAGGTTGAACAACGCATAGCCGAATTTAGAATTAATAAATGGGAATACCTCGCAAAAGGACTAGAACCATCTCAAAACTCCTTTTGTATCTAGGAATCCTATTTACCTGTTTCTGCTACCCTGTAGTAGTGCATACTCCTTTGTCCCGGTCTGAAGGGTCTACCTTTTTTTACGTGGTAGAGCCATGCTGCAGCTATATTATGGTTGCAGGACCATGCTCTCACAGAATACCAGCGTAAAATAGCAACTTAATGGTGCTGTGTTACGTATGGTGAGTGTAGAGAAGAGAGAGAGCGGAGACCCGGTTTATTGGAAACGAGGCATTCTATCTTAGCCCTCAGGGCTGGTAACGCATCTGCTTTTTGATTTTTAATTGAAGATAAATGTAGATGTCTATGGGCCACAACATCCACTTAACATCAGGTTTTACTGTATGCTCGTTTATCACCCTTATACCATTAAAAAACCTTAGTCCTCATAGATGACAATACATCTATAGCCTTCATGTTTGAAGTTGGCTTTAAGTATTCATGGACTGTAGTAAGCATTGAACATCAGGTGGACTATTAGTTCGCTTTTCGCTTCAGTTTTATATTTAAAAAAAAAACAATGTGTCATACATATCAAATTGCATGTAAATATTACCACGGTTCATTTTTAAGGATATACAGTGTGTGTTGCCAGTGATGACTTACGGATCCGAGACGTTGTCCGGTCATATGAGGAAGTTTAAGGTCATTCAGCGAGCTAAGTAGAGGGTTATACTCGAGGTTTCTCTGCGTGTGAGACTTAATAATGAGGATATCCGCAGCAACCGACACACCCAACGGATTAGTATGCTGGAGTGACAACGAGCCCACTATATAGCTCGAAGAACCGATAACCGACGGGAATGAATGGTTCTTGAGTGGCAGCGGCACTGGTAGACAAAGTGTAGGACGCCCCTCACTAGATGGAGTAACGATCTGGTAAGAGGTGCAGGAATTCGATGGATGCGGGTGGCCCAGCTTTGTTGCTTGGGGGAGACTAATGATCAGCAGTGGACTTGTTAAGTTATGTAATGATGACGAAAGATGGAGTATAAAAATTATTTTCCAGGGATGTGCGTGGGATCGTATTTCTGGGGCAACCTGGCAGACGCACGTGGTCGCAAGAAGGCGATCATCGGGGCCCTCCTGCTTGATGCACTCGCTGCCTTTCTTTCCAGTCTGGTGCAATCATTCCCGGCATTCCTGGCGTGCAGGTATGTTGGTCATTTAATTGAGTTTTTTAAGTAGCTTTGCAGTAGCACCCTGAGTGCAAATTCGATTGTGTACTTGAGCCACTGCAGTACGATTTATGTGATGTTAATTTTTTCCTGTCTTAGGATAAGTAGGCTTTTGTTTTATTTAACTTATTTACTACTTTTTCGGGCGGTGCGGCACCCGCTCGCAGTCGACTTAAGGGGTTTCGCACTTAAGGGATTGATCGTACCTTAATGCAAGAGTATGTATAACGTATATGAAGACTGCAAAGCATCTAGTTGTACCTTAGACCTCTTGGCCGTGAAGGGAAAAGGGGAGATCTCCCGTGTCAGTCTTGATCTGACAACCACGGCTTCTTCGAAACTTGAAAGAACTTGCCTTTTATTTTTATTTTACTCTTGGGCACAAAAAAAACACAAAGAGCTAAGTCAGGGCTGTAAGGTGGGAGACTTAGAGTTTCAACAGCAGATTTCTCAATAAATCCTTTTGTTCTAAGGGAGGCATGTGAAGAGGCGTCATCGTGATGCAGCATTATTCCCCGAAGCCCGGTCTTTGGTCTTCTCTCCCGCACAGCTTGAAAAGCTTTGGGTAATGCAAATTATACAATTCAGAGTTGACTGACCTACAATTTCCAGCATTGACGTCGACAAATGTCCGCTCCGCGAAAAAAAAACCAGTCACCATTTTTTTGCCGATATTGCGAGGTCTTTGTAGTTTTGTCGGTAACTGTTCCGGATCATATTGATAGAATCATGTCTCGTCACCAGTAACGATTTTTGAAACACGCCTAGATGTCCCATTTTCAAAACGTAGACGCATTTCATGGCACCAATCCACACGAGTCTGTTTTCCGCTTTCGGAGAGCAAACGAGGGATCCATCGACAACAAAGCTTCCTCACTCCAATTCCTGAATTAATACCTACAATCTTTTCGATTTCCGTATATGTGATTTGTGGGCCTCCTCGCACCAACATTTCAGTAGTCCATACATTTTCTGCCGTTACTGCTGTTTGCGGGGCTCCGGTTCTTTGGTCATCTTTAAGGTTAATTTTACCCCTTTTGAATTCAGAAAACCACCCAAAAATTGTTGCGCGTGATGGAGCTGAGTCCCTAATGCTGATTGTAATCGTTGTAAACTTAATTATTCGGGTAAATCAAATTTAAAATTATAATAGACCATAGGGCGCAAATGTTGACGGTTAAGATCCATCGTTTTAATCGAAAAGTGCGGGAAGCGTTGCAGGAAAATGAATAGATTTTTTTTAATATTGAGCAATTTTGGCTTAAGGAGTTCTATTTTTAAATAAATTTGCTTTTTAAAAACATATAACACGGGTGCGTTCCATTTTTAAATTTCGAGCATCTCAAAACTTATTGAGTGACCTACGTAACTGGGCGCCAAGTCGGTCTGAAGAACATAATTACATATATTGGAAAATGAAAAGAAGTATTTTTAATAAGAGTTTTCTGTTTAGGTTTTTCTCCGGCTTTGGCATTATCGGTGCCACGGGCCTGATATTTCCGTACTTCGGGGACTTTTTGTCTGTGAGGCATCGGGACGTCATGCTGTGTAGGCTCGAGGTGTTCTGGACCTTTGGAACGATCTTACTACCAGGTAATATTAAAAATATATGCTTTTTAATTGACTATACTCTGTCAGCTAATGAAATTTGATGGATCCGTAGCGCAGTTTAGCGTTGAATTACAGTGAAGGCCGCGGGTTCAAATCCCGCATGGATCAAATACTTGTATAGGGTACAAATCATTTTCCGGGTCTGGATGTAAGTCCTTGTGAAATTTTTGGGTGTTAACTGCTTCCAGGATGCAGTAGAAAAACGTGTGAAATGTAGTGAAAAAGAAAAAGTGAAAAAAAAAATTGGTCAACAATTGACGAAAAAGTCGGTGAACATTCGTAAAAACTGAACAGCGGAACGTAGAAGCTCCTCCTTTTTGAAATCCGCTAAAAAGAAACAGAAAAGAAAATACTCCATTCTATATCCAAAGTTTGCACAGGCCGCTTGGTTTTCGGTGCAATTGTATTGAACACCTAATCTCTTAGGTTGTGTTCCGATATACAATGCGAGCATTGCTCAGTGCTCTCACTCGTGATAAATTCATTCCGTTATAGACTGCTAGCCTATGGAAATATGTGACGTCATAAATCGCCGCCATTTTTGTACAGCTAGCACTGGCGCTTTTGAGGTTATGTGCTTTCAGTACAGAGATTTAACAGCTTCCGTGAGTGATTGTTATTATTATTAATTAATATTGTTATTCAAATAAACTCGGACATTAAGTTTTAAAAGCAACAACATTCAAATAATAATTTTTCTTGTTGAACAGAAAATGTGTACATGATAAATATTTTCATTTGAAAACAGTATCGAAAAATAGGAATGACAGTGTTCTGGAATGCATTCCGTTTCAAACAATAACCAGTACTTATAGCAAACTAAAAAGGAATGGCTTCACAGTATACTGAATTGATGTCTACCGGCACACACCCTTAGAGTGACTATAGGGTTGATAAGTATACAAACAATACGTAAAGGTACGTACGTTGAAACGTAGTCTACGATTTGGTGAAGACAATTTGAAGTCTTTTTTATAGGATAATGATGCCAAACGAGCACGTAGTCTACGTAATGGTAAGTGGTTTCTGTGGTCCGTGGATAACTACATCTATCCTCGATTGAAAATGAAAATGTTATCACGTAAACGTTATCACACCTGGAGACTAAGATGAAATGCCTCCCTTTTAGTAAAATTTTAATAAATTCCCTACAAAACATAGCAATATATTATTCTGCTATTTTAGGAATTAGCTTAGGACTAAGACGGAATGCCTCGATTCCAGTAAAAAGAGCTTCCGGTTCTCTACACTCACCAAACGAAACACAGCAGCGTTAAACTGCTATCTTACGCTGGTATTCTGTGAGAGCGTGGCTCTGTTCTGGTCAAGCCGACCCATTTGTGGTAAAAGTAAAAAGTAAAGTTATAGCCTATATACGTCCCACTACTAGGCACAGGCCTTCCCTGATTTCTGAGAGGGTTTTAGGGCAAGGAAGTGTCCGCCGCGCTGCCCCAACGCGTGTTGGCGAACTTCACATGTCTTTGAAATATTTTTTTCTTATTCCTCAGATATGCAGGTTTCTTCACGATGTTTTTCTTCACTGCCGAGCACTTGGTAATTTGTGGTACAAGTATAATATAGCTGCAGCATGGCTCTGCCTCATAAGAGAGAGCTGAGCACACTTATTCTGTAGAACACCAAAAACCTTCAAAGGATAATATTTTTAATTTCAGGTATAGCCTGGCTTATCATCCAAGATCCTCGCTTCAACCTAACCGCCCCTGGCGCTGACTTCCAGTACACATCTTGGAGAGTGTTTGTAGCCGCGTGTGGAATACCAAGTCTGCTTGTGGTTATGCTGCTGTTCCCATTCCCTGAGAGTCCGAGATATCTGCTGCATGCAAATAAACCGGAACAAGCACTACAAGTGCTGCAAAGGATTTTCACAGTCAATTCTAAGCTTCAAGAGAAGGACTTCCCGGTAAGGATTCCTTTATATCAAAATTTTGCCATTCTATCATTTTTCATAGCCTAGAACCTTGATAGATCCCGTGGTCTAAAGACACCCACTTTAATAGATACTTATAAAATTAAAGTGTCTGTCTGTTGTACTCGTATTCAAATAACTGACTTCTAGGCTCAGGGGGGGGGGGGGTTTCACGCTATGAAGACAAATAATCTGTTCTAAAATTTTTGTCTGTCTGTGTGCCCGGGATAATCTTGGGAATAGCAGAACTCATTCCGATCAAACTTTACGAAGAAATAGAAAGCAGTACCAGGATAGATCTAGATAATTTTTCATCGTGAAAAGTACATAATGTTTGTTAAAAATAAAAAAAATTTACAAAATAAATGGTAATTGAGTTATTTTAAATGTAAATAACGCCCCACTAATAGACCCTATCCAGGCGTAGTCCAGGTCGCTAGTCTATCCTTTAATCAATTTTTTTACAGAATAAGGGTGACAAATGAGCAAACAATCCACCTGATAGTAAACCAATGCTGTGGCCCATAGAAATCTACATTTGTTCTTCATTAAGAATCAAAACGCAGACGCGTTGTCAACCATGATCACTAAGATGGGACGCCTCTTTTCCAGTAAAAAGGTTCTCCGATTCTCTACACTCACTTTACGAAACATAGCGGCATTAAGCTGCTATTTTACGCTGGTGTTTTGTGAGAGCGTGGTCCTTCCCCGGTCGAGCCTACCCATTCATTCTACAACTATATAATTAATATGGCTGCAAGATGGCTCTACTACGTTTTTCGTTGTCGAGAAATTCTCAAAATCATTCTGGAGTCAAGACGTTAGCGGTGTTTCACCCCCGTGCCTAGGATAGGACCAATGGTTTTGGTCCTGCGCCTGATATCTCTCCGGTTGTGTCGGCTTACCGTCCCATCGAACTATGTGAGTGAGTGATTAGAGAGTGCACCTGTGCACCTGTATACTCGGGCACTATAACCCTATCCTGCGCCTAGCCATCTGGCTAGTCTCCGTTGAAGCTGGCCGCCGCGTCGTGATCGTAATTCGGTCTGGAGAACGAACAGATACGAAACGTAGGCTCCAAAGGGCAATATTTGTATTAGTTACTTGCTTAGTAAAATCGACTTTCAATAAGTATTATTTATAATCTATATTGAATAAAAAAGTTTCTGTTTCTTGGCAGGCGGGTGGAACGCAAGGGCAGTTTTTTTGTTATTTTATGTTCTTATAAGAAAAATGCCGCTATTCATCTTCTGTTTGACTTGACTCTGTCAACTCGCTTATAAAATCCAGGGGATGTTTCGAGAAAATAGACTCTAACGCCACCAGCCATGTATTTAGTAATGTGTGTTTATATATTGTATTAACCACCCTTCTGCAGGTGGAGTCCATGATCTGCGCAGGGGAGGAGGGTGAGGAGGAAGAGGTGGTGTCGGCTGACAATAACGGCAACGAGACCAAAACCCCGCTAACCTGGAGTAAACGCTGGCATGCCTTCTGGATCAGGAAGAAGTTGCTCGTCACTCCACCGTACATCGGTCTCCTAGTGTTATGCTGTTTTGTTGATTTCGGCCTGATGTTCAGGTATGGGAAAAGAAAAAAGAAAAAGAAATTTATAACACGACCCGATTACCATCATTACATCCTATCAAAAGTCCACTGCTGAACATAGGCCTCCCTCATAGATTGCCTCATGTAGGGATTCTGCCACAGTTGCTACTCTTGGTAGGCGGATTGGCAACCGCAGTGTTTCATTGAGTTATTATCAAGGAGATGCTGCTGAACATCTCCTGCTTCATTTTCTCTCGGGACGATATGGGGTAGTGGATATTCTAACATCGCCACTACACGGTTACGATATGATATCTGTATTTCAGGCATCAAGGTAGTTATACAAACAATATACTTTAACCTAAAATACCATAGTCGTAGTTGCTACGCTTGGCTGGTGGGTCATAGCCATCATAAGCAACTGTGGCAATATAACCCAATGAGTAACGATGCAAATAGACGGCCCCCATTCCCCGGCGGCTCCGCTATTCCTGGCTACGGTGGCAACCATAGTAATGTCGGGGCAGTGGGTGCTAAGAATCTCCGGTGGATCAGGACAGAATTATTATGAGCTTGGGGTTCGTGGCAGTTAAAACTGCCGATTGAATTACCAAAATTGACACATTAATTACAGAACACCGATTATAACTTAAAATACACTAATTGTTGTGGCTTCGGAACAGTCCCGATAAAATATCCTTTTCCTTAGTATTTTCTATCCTCCCTCCTTTTCTTTATACGCACTACTCAAGAATGGTGCGCCACCTATTGTCAAGAAAAAGAAAAAACAAGATGGCCGCGTACGCATAAACCGTGTTCGTTACCGCTCTTTTAAAATTTCTCAATAAATAAAGTTGTAAGACTATCGTACAATTGCTCGTGTCCACATACATTCGAAGTGTAGTGTGGTGTCTATGTATACACTAGAACTTCAACACAAATATTTTACACTTCACCATAACTACGAGGAGTGCTCCAGTCTTGTGAGTATCCTTGCCTTATCTACCCAGTTCTAGAACCATTTTCATTTACTTCCCGTTTGGGATCATGGGGTTAGCCAGGCCTTGGTCTGGTTGTTCTTCGGTTCCCAAAATCACCAACGAAGCACTTTGCGAAATATTCAAGCCGTAACACTAATAATAAAACGCAATTGCACTACTGATCACTTTAGTTCGCATTGATATCGCTTCAAAGTATTCGCTTGATGGCCAATTCAATACTGGCCCGGGCCACGGTCTATATCGGCCTTATATAGGGGCCTCTTCTACTGAAGCATATAGAATGTTTGAGTACATACACTGGTCTAGTATGGAATGATCTAGAAAGCTTTCTTAGTTCTGCTACTCGATACTAGATGGCGCTATTGGCCATGTACCTTTTAATTATGGCGCGCAACGGAATTATAGTACCCGAGTATGTGCGCAAGCCCTCTCTATTCCCTGACTCTCTTAGTTCGTTGGGTCGGCGATCGTAATGGTGGTGAATGGTTGTAGTGGTGTTTGGATTAGTGGCACGAAGATAGTGCACTTAAGTGAAGAAGGACGAGAGGTGCTATTCAAACCGGATAAGACACATCATTTTATTTTATCACTCGGATCTTAGCTAAGTAATATCTAACATCTTTAATATAATAGACTTCTGTAAATGCAGGATGCAGAAATAATGCAGAAAATAATATTTAGCATACGCCCAAACATTACGGCCATCACTCGTTTAATCATAATAAAATTATAAAGTCAAATAATAATTAAAATTATGGCTGTGCAGACACAATTTTTATAATTTTGAATTATTATCATTAGTGTATTGCTACCCATCGTCTGTATAAGTTTTAGCCTGTCGTATATTACAAGATTCACGGGATCGTATTAAAATAGTGGATTCCAATGCACCTCTACTACAAGGCAAGTGGCTATTAAATTCCATATGCAACGGCAACCTACAACTTCTAAACATTAAAGATGCTTCACTCCTTAAAACTAACATAAAATTCCTGCGGTCTATAATTGACCGGCTTCTGCCTTCTCGTCCAATTAAAATTTTGGAATCTTCAAGGTTAGACTGAGTAGGCTCTAATGGTAAAATTGAAAATTTTGTACAACTGGCTTCAATATAAATAAAATGAGAACGTCATCAATGTAGTCGAAGTCAAATAAATAGGCATTATTAAAGATAACTCAAAAACTACTGGCCAGATCTGATCAAATTCAAAAAGGATCATCAAAATCGGTTCAGCTAGAGAAAGTTCTGAAGTAACTCGCTGTCTTTCTAAAAAACAAAGTAGAGACTCAATAAACCTGTATGTTCCAGCTACTACACCCTGATGATGTGGTTCCCGGACCTGTTTGAGCGGTTCAGCCAGTTCTCCTCGCTATACCAAGGGGTGTCTGCTGGCGTCTGCGAAGTGTCAGCGAATGTCACAAGAAGTGAAGTGGATGTGAGTTTTTTTTTTAAAATTAAACTAACAAAGGTCCACCGGATGGTATGTGATTAAACTGACTACTGGACATCTGTAACTGATGTCGAAAAGTGTTGAGCTAAACCTGTGAGGACTAAGATAGAATGCCTAGCACTCTTTATATAGTAGCTATTAAGCACTAAAAACCGAAACACTTTCCAAGTGGTAGCGTGTTATGAATGCAGCACAAATGGATCAGCTTACAATAGCGTGCAATAGCAGCTTAATGCTTCTGTGTTTCTTATGCTGTGTGAGTGGCGAAAACCAGTGATTTTTTTATTGCTAACGAGACGTTCCAGGGTTGGATTTAGAATCGTTTGGCAAGAATTTGGGGGAGTAAGGTGTTTTATTTGGTAGAGGTTTGGTCCCTGATTATAATAATACCACTCACATTAAACGGTAATGCACCGTTCTCGAAAAAATAAATAAAATCTATTATAACCTAAAATGCGTAAACATAGAAAAACATGCAATATTACTGTGAAAGCTGGATAGCATACAGAATTTTGTGTAAATGCGACAAAGACGTAGACTAGTGTCACATTATTCTACTGTCTATGCTCTCTGTCAAGTGTCAAATTGCATGACATACTAACTTTTATGCATTACGCGGTTGGTTGATCGACTTGCGTAAATATGTGCTCTCCAGTGTGTTATTGTAGCTTGAATGTGCTCCCTAATGTTTTTATCTACCGCCGCCTGTTTTTTCGCTACCTCTCTGGATCCTTTTTTACAAAAGTTAAAATTTTGGTGTTTTATTGAGTGTAAGATCGAGCGAAGCGAGCTCGGAGCTTAGGGCATCCCGACTCGAACAGGTTAGGTTAGAAGGGGATGGCGGGGTCGAGTGAGCGAGCGAAACGAGCGAATAGACCCCGCCATCCCCTTCATGGTTATTTTTTTATAAACCATTCAAAAATAGGAGCCCCGCCAAGCGGGCTCCTTCGACCTGGCTTCCCTCGACTGCGCTACGTGGTGCTTTCCTCCCCCAACTCTCTCTCTCCATTAATCAGGTTTATAGACAAAAATATTACAAAAACCTAACCTCAAAATGAGATTTTTAAACATTTATTAAAAAAAAACTTAGCACGTCCGGCAGGAGGTGGAAGTGGGGGGCGACTCTACAACTCTCCAGCCTCCCTCGTACCAACTCCCACCCCCATTCATTTTGAGTTTTCATTTTGAGGTTAGTTTTATAGGATTTGATTTTTGATTTTTCTCAAGAACGGTGCATTACCTTTTAATGTAAGTGGTATTATTACAATCGGGGACCAAAACCTCTACAAAATAAAACACCTTACCCCAAATTCCTGCCAAACGATTCTAAATTTCAACCCCACGCTGCAGCTATATTGGTTTAGCTGGACTGGGGAAAGACTGCGGTCTCATGGATTACCCACGTGAAAAAGTAGCTTAATGCTGCAGTGTTCGATGAGTGTAGACAATCGGAGACCCTTTATACCGGTAAGGCATTATGTTTGTCTGTGGTGATAACAAATCTTCATTTTGATTCTTACTGTATAACCTTAATAGTTCTTGTAATTTCAGGGCCGGCCAGACTGTCCACAGAACATAGACGACAAAGTGTACATCCACACGCTGGTGGTGGCGCTAAGTTGCATCCCCACTGCACTGTGGGTGGGTCTAACCATTAACATGGTGGGGAAGAAGCTTATGCTCGGTAAGTTCTATAATATAATTGATAATAATATAATAAATTACATTACATTAAATTAAACTAATTTTACGTATTTTGTCCCGTTTAATTTGAACTTTTTTCTACCGACTTTCGGGTGCTGTATAACATCTATGGTCTTGAGACAGAGTAAGGTGTTTGACGTCCCGATGTCATGGTTAGCATTTTTCGTCCGATCTACGCAGAATGAACTTACAGTATCTTGAAGTCTTGCAGTGATATGCTTGGGTTTGGATGCAATTTATTAATTATAGGATCCCAAGCAGATGGCAGCACCTATTTATCTTCATCTATTGAAATTAGAATGTTGAATTTTGTTATTTTCTAAAGATGTGACCTATCAAATTAAATGTGATGGTTGAGGCTGCAGACTTCTCGGAACATTAATTTTTCACATCATCTATGTGTTCTTTTACACGGGTTTTTATTGATCTTTAAAAAATGACCAGCTGATGTTAAGAATCGACGCTTTGGGAAGTCTGCAGTCTGTGAACACGTACGATCTATCCAATCTAATGTAGTGGCGGGGGCCGCCACCACATTAGATTTGATAGATCACAAATTCTTGCTAAAGGATTTCGATTCGTCAATCGAAATAAAACAAACATCCTTATTTCTATAGAGAAAAAGGTTGGGTGTTACCGTCTGCTTCGGATCCCATAATTAATAAAATTAAATCCAAACCTAAACATATCACTGCAAGACATCAAAGTGCTGTAACCTTATTCTACGTAAATCAGACCAAAAATTAATATTTAATAATTAATGGGGTAGCCTTTGTTAACTATCTACATGAAAACCTCAAACACCTCAGTGCTTTCAGTGACCATCATCATCATCATCATTACAGCCCTTCACAAGTCCACTGCTGAACATAGGCCTCCCCCAAGTAATGCCACAAAGCACGGTCCTGAGCCACCTGCATCCATCGACTTCCTGCATGTCTTACCAGGTCGTCACTCCATCTAGTGGGGGGTCGCCCTACACTACGCCTACCGGTACGAGGCTGCCACTCGAGAACCTTTCTTCCCCATCGGTTATCGGTTCTTCGAGCTATATGGCCGGCCCATTGCCACTTCAGCTTACTAATCCGTTGGGCTATGTCGGTCACTCTGGTTTTACTGCGGATATCCTCATTTCTGAGTCTATCACGCAGAGGAACTCCGAGCATAGCCCTCTCCATAGCTCGCTGAGCGACCTTAAGCGTCCTCATACGGCCAGCAGTGAAGGACCACGTCTCAGATCCGTAAGTCATCACTGGCAACACGCACTGGTTGTACAATCTAGTTTTTAGAGATTGAGGTATACCTGACGAAAAGATATGCCGTAATTTCCCGAACGCTGCCCAGCCGAGTTGAATCCGTCGATTGACCTCTCGGTCGAAGTTGGACTTACCTAGTCGGACTATTTGTCCCAGGTAAACGTATTCGTCAACAACTTCGAGCATAGTGCTCCCAACAACTACCGGCATAGGTGTGACATGGACATTGAACATGATCTTTGTTTTGTCCATGTTCATCTTAAGACCTATCCGTTGGGAGGCACTATTGAGGTCATTGAGCATAGTGCTTAAGTCCTCCAGCGATTCTGCCATAAGGACTATATCGCCGGCAAATCGAAGGTGAGTGATGTACTCGCCATTGATGTCAATACCGTATCCTTTCCAGTCCAGTAGCTTGAAAACGTCTTCCAATGCAGCGGTGAAGAGTTTCGGGGATATAACGTCACCCTGTCTTACACCTCTCTGCAGTTGGATAGGTTTCGAGCTCTGGTTCTGTACTCGGATAGCCATCGTAGCCCTACTGTACAAACACTTCAGCACTTCGATATACCGACAGTCAACTTGGCACCGCTGAAGGGACTGTAGCACCGCCCAAATTTCGACGGAATCAAAGGCTTTCTCATAGTCCACATACGCCAGGCAAAGTGGCAGATTGTACTCTTCAGTCTTCTGTACAATCTGCCGCAGGGTATGTATGTGGTCTATGGTACTGAAGCCTTTTCGGAAACCGGCTTGTTCGGGAGGCTGGAAGTCGTCAAGTCTGCGTGCGAGACGATTCGTAATGACTCTCGAAAACAGCACGTAGACGCGGCTCAGAAGGGAAATCGGTCTGTAGTTCTTTAAGAGAGCGTTGTCGCCTTTCTTAAAGAACAAGACCACCGCACTTCTGCTCCACGCCTCTGGAGTAGTGCCACCATGGAGGACGGAATTGAAGAGCTTCTGAAGGACTTCAAGTACCGGTGTTCCACCCGCTTTCAGAAGCTCCGCTGTAATTCCATCCTCGCCTGGGGCCCTGCCGTTTTTAAGGTGCTGGAGAGCCATTCTAATCTCGCTTAGACTGACGTCCGGGATATCATCGGAATAGTGTCGGATAAGACTTGCTCTTGGATCGTTACTCACACTTGCGTGTGGCTCCAACGATGATGTGTACAGCTGCCCATAGAACCTCTCAATCTCACTCAAAATCTCAGGTGTCCCGGAAACGATGTTGCCACACTCAGTCTTCAGCCTTGACAGTTGGCTCTTTCTGGCAGACAGATCTCTGGCAAAGACTTTGGAGCCCTGGTTCCGCTCGATCGCTTCTTTAATACGAGAAGTATTAAAGTTGCGTAAGTCTCGCCGTATGCATTTGGAGATCTGTCTGTTCAGTTGCCTGTATGCTGTCAAATCTGTTGACGATTGCAGCCTCATCTCCCGTCTAACAGCCATGAGATTAAGAGTGTGATCGGAGAGTTTTTGTGTTCTTCTGCGGCGGGTCTTGCAGAACTTAGCTCCGACCGCATGGACAGTTTCCACGAGCTTGTCGTTCATATCGTCCACTGCATTGCAATCTTCTAGGCACTGGAAGCGGTTACGTAACTCGAGCTGAAAGGTTTCGGGATTCTGGATTAGAGCACGAGGGGGGACGGAGCGTGACCATACATGCTGTGAAACACCCGAAACTGAAACGCGATAAAATCCATAAAATAATTTTTATTCAAGGACTTGTTAGTGGCGCAGAGAGAATAACAGCAATACTGATTAAACCTACCTTTACGGATTTTATCGCGTTTATTTTACTATTATTTTCAATTCCCGACGTTTCGGGCGCCCATCATACACTGCATAATACCATCTATACACTGCATAAATGTTCCTACCTCCATCGAAACTTACGCTTATACTGATTCTGTATAATTCCCTATATATGTTACAAAGATCACGATGATAAAGTTACATCTATCAATATTGGAAAAGATTGTGATTCCGTATACAGTTTTTACTTTTTGTATTCATCATACTAGTCAACCGGCTTCCAGCTATATCAGCGATTATATTGTTTCTGATATATCAGTAGATACAATTTTTATGTCAGTATAGTTGCCGACACGAAAGGTGAGCACAGATGAACTATTGTGGGGGTTGAGCCAGCGTAGGTACACTGTCGGCCAAAATTATTAGGTACTGTTGTTATTTTAATTCATAATTGAATATTTTCGCTGACTTTTTTTGAAATTCTGAGTCGTTAACTCCTTTAACTATACGCCGTACAGTAGCTACGTAGACATTAGTCGCCTCAGCAGTCTGTTTATAAACGTCTATCATATTTTTCGCAACACCTAATTATTTCATGTAACAAAACATTGAAAAGACCATTTGTCGCGATTGTCTATTTAACACCGAATTCTTTCTTCTCTGCATATTTAGACCAAAATCCGAATGCTCAAATTATAACAAAAAAAAAAAGTTAACAACAAGAAATATCAAAACCGGCCAAGAGCGTGTCGGGCCACGCTCAGTGTAGGGTTCCGTAGTTTCCCGTCCGTCACAATAAGTGTTCTCACTTATGTGTTTAAAGGTGGTAATCCATTATGTTCGCGCTCCAGCAGCGCTCCGCGCTCCTGCAACTGCTCCTGGTAGTGGGTACTGTTGTTTCCATCCAAGTTCAAAATGATTTTCCTAGAAAGTCCTTATAAATTTCTACTTTTCAGTTTTTTTCATATTTTCTAAACTTATGGTTCAAAAGTTAGAGGGGTACACATTGTTTTTTAATTTTGGAGCGATTATTTCCGAAATTGTTGACATTATCAAAAAATGATTTTAATAAACCCCTATTCATTTTTAAATACCTTTCTAACAATATATCACACGTTAGGGTTGAAATTAAAAAAAAATCACTTCCCACTGCATATAGGGGGGCTACCCTAATAAAACATTTTTTCCAATGTTTATTTTACCACTTTGTCGGCGTGATTGATACACATATTGGTACCAAATTTCAGCTTTCTAGTGCTAACGGTCACAGAGATTAAGCGAGGACGGACAGACGGACAGACAGACATGGCGAAACTATAAGGGTTCCTAGTTGACTACGGAACCCTAAAAACAGTTAAAACAAGAAATACACAAACAACAATTAACAACGAGTTAATACTACAATTAACAAAAATAAACTGATTAAAAAGTTATCACTAAAATTGCTCTGAGTGTTTGGTAGTCGAATGATACGTGCGAACCCAATAGACGACGAGAATCGGCTGACGAACCAATCACGTTGAGCGTCAGCGTGATCGACGTCATATCGACCAATAAAAAGTGTGCTCACGACTCGTGGCGGCAATTATTTTTATTTCGTGTTTTTATAATCTCAATAGTGATAAGCAAAATTCTCAATTAATTTCCTTAGGGGTACAAAGGATCTGTCCTTAGTAGAAAATATTTAGACAGTGGAAAATACTCAGACACGGTAGAAGCCTTTTATTTTTAAGCAACTAAAGCTACTTCTTTAACCACAATTGACTATAAGGAATTTTTCCTCTATTTATTTATTTAAACTTTATTGCACCATAATAATTCAAATACACAAGGTGAGGTTGTTAGGTAAGTTAATGCCACGGGCAGATGATTTGTGTAGTAAATGTATGTGGTAAGGTAATTGTTAGGTAAGCTTATGTTTTTCTTTTAAGTAAATGTTAAATTGTAAATCAATTATATCTCAATGATAATCTTTGCTTTTAAATTATGATATATCATTGTAATTTTCAGAAAAAATTAAGTAATAAAAATAAAACAATAATATTCTAAATATAGGATATTAGCAAAATATATCACTGACATTATACAATGTGTGTATAATGTCAGTGATCCTCAATACACACAAGTGTGTGTATTGAGGAACTTGAAAGATACTTAAATTATATGGACATCGTTTGGAAAACAATAAAAAAGATTGTTAATAATTCGTTAATTTTTGAAAGTAAATATTTTGCACAAAAACTTTAATTTTAAGCCAGTCTTTGTTTTCCAGCAAATCTCCGTGTTGTTCTTTTAATATTTCACATTCATGTTTTTTAGGTAGTTGTTTATTTTTAATGTGTAGTTTGAAAAATTTTTCCGTCAAAGTTACTAATGTTCTTTTCTTTCTAGTTTTTATTTTATTTTTGGTATTTAATACCTGTGTTACCTCATCGGTGACGCATTGTTGAGAATTCCGAATACCGGATGGTCCAGCCTGAGTTAAATTTTTTTGACTACGCATTTGTTGAATGCAATCAGAGTTGACAGTTTCGATTAGCTTACAATCATAATCGAGTATTTGATCGTTATCAAGAACCTCTTCATCTAGCTCTTCATTCATATCTAAATCGATCTCTTCGAGAGTCTTTCCTTTGAAAGCATCTGCTTTACCATCTTCTATAACAATAAGAAGTTTCGATATGTTAGCAGTTGGGTATACTTTATCAGGCAATTTATAAGATTTTTTGTGCACTTCATTGTTCATGTCATTTTTAGACATGCTAAATATTTGTGACAACGTAGCTAAGTGTTTTCTGAGCCTTGTAGACGAGATTGCTTTTGGGTTTTTTTGCTCCAAATAACCTTGCATGCCTTTCTAGAACTTTGTAGCCATATATAGTGTTTTCATAACATGGATTACCAAATAAAAAAATATTTGAGTTTGAAGAAAAAAAAACAGGTGTCTTATTGACAATAATGGTTTTATGTCCACTTGAACTTCTTGATTAAACAAAACGGGTACTCCACGGCCACGTTTGCCTCTAATAAAAACTCTCTTAAATTTCTTAACCAGAATCCTTTCAGATGCAGTAAGCCTCTGAGGATCAAATTCATCATACTTATCAGATGCATTATTATCACTTTGTAAATAGTCGTGCAGTGTTATTCTTTGAAGTTCGCAGGCTGTTTATCCTACAATACACAGTTTCTAATAGTTGTGTGTATGTTGCAATATTTTTGATGCCTTCTTTAATTTGTATAGAAGCCTCCAAAGATTTTTTTATTTTGACTATTCTTTTAGAATTCTCAAGTCATTTGCTAAAGGGACAATAGTTATTTTTATAACGTAGTACGTTTCTAGGGCAGGCGGAAAAAAGTACATTGACCTCAAGTATTATGTTAGCATCGAAACAAAACGACAGTTATTGCTTCCATACATTTCTTTATAGATCATGTATCGTTATGCGCTAAGCGTGTCGCATGGTACGGGGTAGGGTGAAGGACCGCTTCCTTCACTCTAGCCCGTACCATGAGACACGCTTAGCAATAACGATTCAGAGATAATAAACCTGTTTCGACGCGATTTGCGATAGGTCTCACGCCGTACTTATTTGAGAAAGCGGATGGAGCAGAACTCATTCCTCATTCTGCTTTGGGATGCGCTTGCGTGTAGATATTTTGAGATTTAAAATTTTCGGTTATAGTAGTTGTTTTAATTTTTATTAAGTTTGTTTTGTTAGTTGTATTATTACGTTTTGTATTAAAGTTTTTGTTATTGTTTTGTGACGTTTTGTATATTATCACTAGTAGGAAATCGGGTCCATCGACATAAAATCTCATAAAGACTACGTCGCCACGAAAGAATCGGAAAGTGTCGCATATTTCGAAAACCGAAAAAAATTGTGATTGTAAACATCTATAAATATATAAAAGAAACGTGGTCTAGTGACGTATTATATCGTTATACATTATATTGTATATCCATCCAAAACGGATATAAAAGAAGACTGCCGATATTTTAGGTTATAATCAATGTGACGGACTCTTCTACGTCTTCATCATCATAAACTGATTCTGAAATAGATACAGATGAATAGTCTGTCAAGTGTCTCTGACAATCTATAATGAGAAGTTTTATGCATGCTTCAAGGTTGGCTGCTTAAGAATGCTTAGGATTAAAAGTTCGTCTTTTTACCTGACTGCCAAGAAGTGGTTACGTTTTATACAACTACCTACCTACCTACTTATTAAAGTACATACCTACTATTAACGTAATAATGAAAATTGTGATTATGATTTATAAATTATAAATTTAAATTAATATTAATTTGCTTTTAAATTAATTTAGGTACAGGATAATCTTATTTCTTTACAATATAATAATAGACATAGGGCCGGTAAAGAACTTCGCACTCGGCACCCTTAACTTTCTTTCTGATGATGTATGTAATGATAAAAGGGTAAAAAAATGAACCTAAACAAAAAAGATTGCCAACCCCGATATATCAGGGGTTGGCAATCTTTTTGTTTAAAGTCAAAGGTCAATGTTCTTTTTTCCGCCTACCCTAGAAACCTACTTAATACTTATACTCACATCTTGTCTCGGTGGAGTATAATTTGAACAAGTATCAGTATCAATCCATTTACAAACATGCGGCCGTTGCACGCACGTCCCTCCTACCTACCCTCCTCCTACCCGCGCGCCCCGCGTGTCCCAATTTAAGTAAAATACTAGACGCAAGATCATCGTCGTGGAGAATTGATAAAAACATTATCGATATTCAATCGGACGCAATAAAATCGGTAAATTAAACGCTCAATATACGTTCAAAAATATACACTCATGGATAGCGCCCTCCAATTTCCGCGCGGCAAACGGCTGAACTACGAAATACGCTAAAATACATTTTAGTGATGAAATTGAGTCCATGCCAATTTTTTGCCCATACATTCTAAATATGAAAATTCGTCTATTGACCAAAAATGAGGGCTGGTTAATCTTGCGTCCGTATACCGGACGCATCAAGTCAGTCGGACGCAGTATCATCGGTATAAGTTGCCATGTAGGACGCAACATGATTTGCAAGATATATATATATATATATATATATATATATATATATATATATATATATTCTTCGATTAATTATCGTAACGCAGATCCGTTGTCACCGCTGAGGACTAAGACGAAATGTCTCTTTGCAAGTAAAAATGGTATCCGGTTCTCTTCACTAACCATACGAAACAGCAGCATTAAGCTGCTATTTTACGCTGATATTTTGTTAAAGCAACAAGCATAGTATAGCCGGGTACCAGATCCGGGGCATTGCTGCCACAGACAAAATAAGTGTGGAAATATTGTTTTAAATTTGGAAGAGTTACATTGTTTAATTGGAAAAGATAATACATTCATTGAAGTTTAACGATATATTACTTTCAAATAAATTTGTCGGTACGATAAGCGCGACACCTACTGTAAAGTAATTGTACTATGCCTATAACCTTCGCGCAAGTGCAAGCAATAGGTTGACAAAGTTTTACCGCAATCTGATGAACGGTATGGTGGCGCATAAAATACGAACAAATAAACATTAGTTTTTATATATTAGATTTATTTTTAGTGTATTTTATGTATGTGTATTATTTTGTAACCATTTATAAGTTTCCTTTCTTGCTTCTTTCTTTTTTCAATGTGTAATGTTCACGTTATTATAAGAAATCATTATTTCAGTGATGATGCTGATCAGCTCTGGCCTCGCTGCGCTGGGATTGAACCTGGTGCGCTCCTCCCTGGAGAATCTATTGCTCTCTTGCGTGTTCGAGGCCATCGTCAGCTGTACGGAAGCTGTGATGTTTTGTGTTGTCTGCGAGATTTTCCCCACTAATGTCGTGTAAGTGTTTCTTTTTATTTGCACAACAGAAAAAAATGTCTAGCCACATGCGCAGGGCAGGACTATATTATGAATGTGTATTATTAGTTATAGTGCCCGAGTGTATGCGTAAGCACAGGTGCACTCTGTATTTCTGTGCCTCTAATTCGATGGGACGGTTATCCGACACGACCGGAGAGATATTACGTGCAGGGCCAACGGTTTACGTGCTTTCCGAGGCCCGAGAGTGAAACACCAGCAACTTACTGACCCTGGGCCAACTAATAGGGAACTACCGGAGAACTACACTTGATACAAAAACGCAATAACTGATTTAAGTCTGACCTGGTATTCGAACCCAAGCCCTCATGATCGGCAGCCGTGTTTATGAACACTGAACCAACGAGGCAGTCAAATACAATATAATATCTCGCAACATAATTTCCTCCCTTCTCGAACGTTAAACGTGACATTCTGTGGAAAAGGTTACTTTGATTGAAACGTTTTGCTTATTTTCAGGAAATAAAGGTTCTAAATAAAAATATAGCCGATAGAATAAAATATAATCATTTTCATTCAATATAGATTGCAAGTAATTCATAATGAAAGTCAATTTTTTACTTTTACCACTGGTTCGGAAAAAACTTCTGTCCTAGAAAGAACCAGGAAGAAACCAAGCGGTACAATTTTCAAAGGAAATTTCCTTTGAATACAATGAGAGAGATAAGAAATATAAGGAATTAAAATCAATAATATGCCTTTCTTGTAATCGGTAAATAATATTTTCATCTCAATGAATATTAATGCAGTAAAGTATTAGTAGAAGAATTTCAAAAACCCGTTCGATTAAGAATTTAATTGAGAATTAATTTCACGTATGTGCATATTTTTTCCAAGCATATACGATGTTACAAAGTATCAATTCTCGCGTCTAAAGATCGTGTCTAAAATACTATGTTTTGTACAACTTGGTCTTAAGCCAATATCGATATGTACTAAGGATGTTTATGTTTTTTTCTCCAGAACGATGAATATATAGGTTAAAGAAAAAAAAATCTTGTCAACTGCTTTGAAATCTTTAATAAATAAAATAAAATTGATTTGTTTCAGACGTTTCTCCATATCGATATGCTCATGAAAAGCTCTTAAAAACTATGTTAGTAACATTTGTTGAAACAGATAAATACAGTTTTACACAATAGTTTAAATATCTGCTTGCACTGCTCGACACTCTTGCAATAGAGGACAAGGCAATGTAGCGCGTATTCGACATTCCCTCTGCTGGTTGAGGTCAATAAATTTAAAAATCATGTTGAGATGACGCGCGATGTTAGATTAACACACTAGTTACATTGCGTATTTGTTTTTTTTTATTAATACATGTGCTACTGATACCATAATAGCATTTCATTGAAAATATGATATCCTTTATTTTTATCCTATGTCTTATTAAATCTTATCAATGGCAACCCTACCCCAACAGCATACAAGTGAACAGAGAAGTTTTTTAACATTTATTTTTTTTAAATCTGCAACTGCTTGTGTGTGCTGGAGCAGTTGGAGATTTTAAAAAGTAATAATGGTAACTATGCACTGCTGAATGAACCAACAAATGTTTCTTATTTATTTATTTTGAAAGCTTAAATATTTTTATTTTATTTCGCAGAGCAACAGCAATGGCTGTAACGGTTATGAGCGGTCGAGTGGGGGCGATCGTGGGTAACGTGGTGTTTGGTGCCCTGGTCGATCAACACTGCGTCGTGCCTATATATATATTTGGAACATTACTGATATGTAAGTATTACATCTTGTGGCGGTGAAAGAAAATCCGACGTCCCATTTTATCCGATAAGCGTCGTAAAGGGGAGGCTATTGAAAATGCTGTATCATCATTTTTAATCATCATCATCATCATTCCTCAAAGAATGCCATAAATTAATAAAATAAAACATTTCACTAAACATTATATTGCTTATTAGACGGCATAAAATTTAGGTTAATTTAAGTACTTGTTTTTTAAATTTGCTTGTAGAATGTACAGTTTTTTTTTTAAAATATAATATCTCTCTTTTCTCTAACTATAACAAAAACAAGAGCTAATCTTATTCAATCTGGTGGGCTGACTTTAATATTTATGAAAATAGCAAAAAAAATTATAACACGTCCAGCTTTGAGTGTGACAGTCCTGTTTTAAGCTGTCCCCAAACTAAAGCGTAACAGAACAGCATGTAAACCCATTATTGTGGTATGTAACTTGTGTTCAACTTACGCTGGTAAAACTAGTACTTGTTGTGCGGACCCATATACCCACCACGTAACGCTTTAGTTTGAACAGGATAGTTTTATGTATTTTGGTGACAGCTTAAAACAGGACTGTCCCACTTAAAGCGGGACGTATAGTATAATTATTTTTGTCTTGGTACGCTGTACAGGTCTTTTAAATACTATTTTACTTAAACTAAATATAAATCATTACGTTAAAATAGTTTAACGCAATTATAAATATTTTTTGACAGTCACATTATTTTATCTCAAGTTCATAATATTTCTTATACCTACTATACTTTTTCTCCACTAGAAGGTAGTTTTAACATTGGTTTGATAATTTAATATCTATTGTTTCAGCGAGCGGATTTCTGTGTATGATATTGCCCAAGAGTACGCGACCGGAGCGGCCGCAGTGAATTTAAGTTAATATATTTTTATATGAATATTATTAATAATATAGTCTTACAATATAATATAATAATAATGAGTTTCATTTTATCCTTTCCTGTGTACTATTTTATAGCTTTCATATATTTTATATGTTTTACTTGGTAAGTTTACGTGACAGAGCAGCATTAAAGTGCTATTTTAAGTTAGTATTCTGTGAGAGCGTACTCAAACCCCGGTCGAGCCGACCTATTCCTGTTACAGAAACAGAAACTTTTTTTTCAATATAGATTATAAATAATACTTATTGAAAGTCAATTGTTTTTTAATTTACTACTGGTTCAGAAAAAACTTCTGTCCTGGGAAGACCCGGCAAGAAACCCAGCGGGACTATTTTTTTAAATAACAGCTTACAATCATGTATGCTACAGTTAACAACACAAAACAAATTAAAAATATCTTGGTAGCGATCACCCTCCTCAGGGGTTATTATCATCCATAAATTGATTAATATTATGGTAACCCTTTGTATACAAACTTAATTTAATAAAGTTTTTAAACTTTGTACAGGTCAAATTTTGTATATTTTCTGGGATTTTGTTGTAAAAGCGTGTATATATCTCCCCAAGAATGAATTACTGACTCGGTGAAGTCAAGTGACTACTAGCTTGCGTCTGTTCCTAGTATTTACAGAATCAATATTACAAATTTTGTAAAACTACTTTTATTTTTGTGTATATTAAATTTTCAATGTATTGAGACGCCAATGTTAATATATTAATTTCCTTAAATTTTCGTCTGAGCTACTACTAATTTTTGTCTGAGCGACTTTATGTTTTAAGTCATATATTGCTCTAATGGTTCTCTTCTTTAAAACAAATATAATTTCAGTGTAAGTCGCGTGTCCCCATAGCAAAATAACATACGTTATTACATATTGTCATTTTTTTTGTATCAAATACTTAAATCTAGACAACAGTGTGTACATTATATCTATTTCTATGGAATTTGGTATATGGTTGTATAATGACATCATTCTGATAAGTGGGGTAGTTGGGACCCAAATTACTTTTACAGAGAAGTTCTTTGAACAGCTTGTAGACCTTAAAGCGCGGTAACTTATTTGGTACAGATATATTAATTTTACTTAAAATTTGCGGACAGTCTACATGATTACGCAATAATTTATGCAAAAAAACAAGATCTATTGTTTTCCTTCTATTGTTGAGAGTTTTCATTTTAAAATATTTAAGTTTGTTATCATATGAATTTAATAAATGTGATTTCTTTGTGTGACATATAAAGCAATATGGTTCTTGTGTATTTCATAAAATGGATTCCAGACTTGAAGACAGTATTATAGAATACTCCTCACTAATGTATTATATAGCAATATAATAATTTAATAAATAACATGACACTTATACACATTACTATTACTATTCATGTTCTCTTGTAGTAATACACTGTTATCTATATTTCTTATTGGCCTTAACATCTTTAGGTCATCCGCAAAATGTAAGGTTCTGAGTTAAGAAAGCTATGTATATTATTGATAAATATTGAAAACAAGAGTGGATCAAGGTTTGAACCTAGTGAAATATCTGATGTGACCACGAATGCCTTCGATCTAGCTCCATTATCCACCACAAATGATTAGCGGTCTTTTAAATAGGACGCAAGCCACTGTAAATTAGAGCCCCCAATACCAAAGTTTTACAATTTTTGAAGAAGTATTTCATGGTCCCCGTGTCGAATGCCTTGCTAAAACCAGTGTATATTATATCGACTTAAATGTGTTGATCAACAAATGCCGCCAAGGTTTCGACAAAGTCGACCATGTTCGTGTTAGCGGATCTAACTCTGATAAATCCTAGCTGCTTATTTGTTAGCTGATCTTTAACATGGTTATATAGATAAGAATAGATAATACTTTCAAATAATTTTGAGAGAATAGATAAAATTGATATTGGTCTATAATTTTTTATGTCTCGCTTAGAGTCATTCTTATGAATTGGCACAATTTTAGTTTCTTTCCAGTGTGTTTTAAAGATACCCGACTTTAGAGATTCATTAAATATTATAGTAAGGGGACGTGACAGTTGCTCAGCACAGTTGACAATAAAAACTGGTGGTATGTCATCGAATCCCAGTCCCTTGCTTTAAACAAGTTTTTTTTTAATTTTAAAAGACTTCTAATTCATTTAGTTTTAGAGGATTAAGGTGTTCAGCTGCTCTTCAGCATTTTTATGTTACAGTTAGGTATACAAATTAGTAAATGATGTAGCCTTGTGGTAAATTGATGAAATTTTTTTTGCAAACAACTCACTAATCTTCATCAATCATCCTCAGCTAACTCATTTCCCAAATACGTTTATCTTTTACAAAGGTCCAAAAGTATTTAGGGTTTTTTGAGATGCTGCTTTCAAATATGTTATAGTAGATTACTATTATTAATTATTTAGTTCAGTATATTTCTCAAAAATTATTGCAACGTCCTAACCTGATTTAGTTAAATTGTTGTTAAAACTTAACTGGTAGTTTGAATTGCGAGAGTTGACCTTACCAGTTTCACTATTTTGTTTATCAAGTATGACTTGACTTGACGATGGAGCACACTCTCTTAAATATTTTTGAATATTTTTACATATTCCCTAAATTCGATGCTAGGATTATAATTATCACCTTTCATTGTAAAGGTCATATAACCTTTGTCTACCCTTATGGACTCCTACGGTCATCCATTCAATGAATGACTTACGATTGTTCAAGGCGAATGTTTTAGAAGTAAAAGTATTATCAAATTAATTGAAAATAAGCTTAAATAATGTTCCATAAAAAAATCTGGATTTTTTTGGTATGGTAGTGATGGAAGTTTTTTTACTATGTTACTTCTTAACTTCTCGACGACGCACGCGACGTGCATTTACTGAAACAAACACAACTTTTTCATCTATTTTCTTTTTGTAAACATAAATTATAAGCTTTTAAACAATATTCACTAATACACAAAATATGAATATTGTAGCTGATAACAATTCAATTTCTAGCTCTTTGCTTATCATGCCTTGTATGTTGTGTTGATGCACCAGGTGTAAACAGTTTTTATTGTCATTTTGTGGAGTCATACAATTACAATTATTATGGATTTGTAAGTTAGATTCTAAATTATTTAAATTATTATAACTGCTGACAACACGCACTGGTTGTGCGTGTTGACGCCAGTGATGACTTACGGAACCGACACGTGGTCCTTCACTGCTGGCCGTATGAGGACGCTCAAAGTCGCTCAGCGAGCTATGGAGAGGGCTATGCTCGGAGTTTCTCTACGTGATAAACTTAGAAATGAGGATATCCGCAGTAGAACCAGAGTGACCGACATAACCCAACGGATTAGTAAGCTATGTTAATGTATTTTATGTCAAATCATTATGATGCTCAATAGGAATTGATGTCTGGGTAGCCAAGTCCTTGGCTGAGGTAATATGTATTTAATTATTTATTTATTTGCTTTTTAAGGGAAACATACAGTAAAATAAAAATACATTATAAAACATATAAAAGTAATCCTAAAACCAATGAAGTTTCCAGAGACATCTAAAACATACTAAAAGCTTGCAACCACAATATGTTTAAAGATTTAAAAAAAAAATAACTAAATGGTATTTATAATTAAACATTAAGTACTAAGCATAAAATAAAAGTAATACAATACACACAACCTATAGTGAAGCTACCAATTATAAATTAAGTTTTACAATATTTTTTTTATAACTATTATATTTAAGGTGAAAAATATCTAGTTCACAATATTTTAAGTAAAAATTTTTTACATGTACCAGATACAAAATTATTTGAAGCATACTTCGTTTTTACTTTACGTAATGCAAAAAGAGGCTTTTTTCGTGCACCTAACCGGTGACACGCAAGATTCACTTTGCTTAAAAGTAGGGGAGTGTCGATGATATTATGTAGCAATTTGTACAACAACATTTGATCTCTTATATCACGGCGTTTTTCGAGTGTATAACTGTGTAAGCTATCAATAATGGAGTCTACAGAAGAATTATATCGCTTTAAGTGACGCAGAAACTTGTTATTGATTGTTTCAATCATTTTAACATAAACTTTGTATTGAGGATTCCAACATGAAGAACAATATTCAAGAATAGATCGCACCAGAGTGTTAAATAGTATAATTAATGTTGTAAGAGTTTTTAAAATACTTTGAGATACGCATAAGAAAACCTAGCATTTTATAAGCTCTTTGAGTTATGATATTAATATGTGATCTCAGTAACAACTTACTATCCAACTGAACACCAAGATCACGCAGTTCATTTACTCTCTTTAGTAAATTATCGTGGAGCTTATAGTTAAAGAGGATTGGATTCTTTTTCCTAGTAAATGAGATAATATTGCATTTCTTGATGTTCAAGTAAATATGATTTGCTTGGCAATATGAGCTAAGCCTACACAGAACCTCTTGAAGTAGATTGCAGTCTTCTATAGATTTAATAGGCCTAAAAATTTTCATATCACCTGCAAAAAGGAGAAGTTTGGAATTATGGTAGCAGGATGTTACATCATTTATTAATATTATAAATAGTAGTGGACCAAGATGCGAACCCTGAGGAACACCTGAACAAAACTGGGAGAAATGATGAACAGTGTTCTTTTATTGTAACTGCCTGACTACGATTTCTAAGATAAGAAGATAGTCATGGATTCGACCCCACACAGAGTGGTACAAGTACGTGCATAAATGCTATTGCTGACTTTACACCCTGTGTGTGGCCTATATCGCGTCACTTGAGTAAGCAAATGTAATAACGTCTGCATGAAAGATGTTTTAGAATAAGATTGCCATTGTTGAAGTACATGAGCTTCTGTACGGATATCTCTTAGTTTTATTTTAGTTTATAAAAACGCCTCCACTGCTTCCGTTAACTTGACTAGATATCCATCGAAGTAAATCACCATGTACACCGCTTTGATCTAATTTGTGTATCAGAATACTATGTGAAAT